ATCCGCTATGGACAATTTAACTGAGTGAGTATAAATGATTCAATGACACTTTGACAAGTGCTGCAAAAATAAATAGACAAAACTAGTCCAGAATTGATCAAATTTATTGCATCTGGATTGAAATCCTGATCCGCTATGGACAATTTAACTACGGAAGACGCCCCCAAAAAGGAGGAAGAACCCTTTGGGCTCGGTTGTGCCCTAGACTACTTTGCAGAGTTTGAAGAAGTGTTTGAAATGATTGATAACCTAAAAAATTTGATTCAAGCTGAGGGCTCTGTCCAGGAAAAAGCATATGAAAAGTTCTCCTTCATCCTCACTCAGTACATTGAACAACCCCACCTGCTAGACTCCCAGTTGGATTCCATTCTGCAAAAATTCATTCAAATTTTACGAAACAATGAGGAACCAATTCAGCTTAAACATGTAGCCTTTAGTTACATGGCTGTGGTGGTAAATGTGAGGGGCTACAAAGACATAGTAAAACATCTTCCTCATGAAGTGGCAGACTTTGAACCAGTACTTTGCCTTTTGGAAAGTCAAGACCCCCGTGACACGAACACTTGGACCACTCGCTATATTTTATTATTATGGCTCTCCATAATTATAATGATTCCATTTCATCTTTCTCGTTTTGATGGATTCGATGAGACTGAATCTAATAAGAAATCTGTGATGGACAGAGTTTTAAACATTATTAAAACCTATGCAGTCGTGCCAGATAAATGTAGAGACGCAGCCGCTTTTCTTTCATACAAATTTATCAATAGGTAAGCAAACACAGTTAAGTGTACATTAAATCGCTTAAATTGGTATCGAGTGTATTCTTTGTCGGAATTAAACGTAACAATATAAACTTGATAGAACATGTCATCATAATATTTGAAATATTTGCACGCTGTTTTCATTTGAAGACATGGAAAATTGTTTAACAGGAATAACCAGAGCCAGTACAAAAAAATTCAAGCCAATAGTTACGGAAACTAATTCTAATTAACTACTATAAATTTTATTGCTCAATATTTGTCGGAAGCGAAAGCGTAAACTTATCTGCAATTAGAAAAAAATGCGTCCCAAAAAGGTATATATTGTAATCTGGGAAAAAGACGACCATGCACGTAAAAACCTAACTAACGTAAAAAAAGCGTGAAGTGATTGAATTATACGTCAATATGTAGTACCTATACTTAGTTCAATAACTCAAATCATGATCATTTGAGTTATTGATGATTCCCTTCATTTTAAGATTTCGTCTTCAAAAAGAGGATGATCTCTTAAATATGGCGCAACATAAACAGTTCGTATTATTTATCTTTCAACCTAAAATATAAAATAACAAAACTGAATATAACAACTTCCATTGAATCATGGTATTTCTCGTTAAATTTGAGTTCAATAATATAAATCCTAAACTAAATCTTTAACTTTTCACATTTAAGCTGTTTTGTAACAATATTAAGTACTTATTTTATGCACAATTACATACTTTTATATTTTTTTACTAATAAGTGCTAATATAATAACATTCAATAAAAATGAAAAGGAATATTTAACTACAAAATAACTCTAATTTTCGGATGAAATCTGCAGCAAAATATTCCAAGTGATAAATCAGTATTTACTTAACACTTGAGATGTCTTGATGTTATTTGTTCAAAAAGTGTGTATATTTTAAAGGGCTTTTAGCCTTTAAAGCTTTAGCTTTAGCTTTTAAAGGGCTTTATGTTTAGCTAAAATACACAAGGTGATCCAAAGCTAATTTATATTTTCTTTGTTTTTTGTGATCCGGAAACTATTTCTAGTAAACTAGAAAAACTCTTCTAGGAAACTATTTCTAGATAGTAAACTACACTTTTGTGCACTTTTTAATTATTTACAGCTACTGTGTAAGCGTTAAGTCACATTTTTTATGCTCCAGGAAAAATATTTTGGATTTTTGTGCGACCATGAACTAACTAACTTTGGCCCTTTGGAAATACTGGCAATTTGGAATCACAATTGTCTCCTTCATTAAAATATACTCTTAGTAAGAAGGCTTAATTGCAGCCATTTTAAAGAAAAATTACATTCTATGATCAAAAACATGCTACAGTGTATTTTTATCGATTTTCCAACCAAGATTAGATGTTAGTGAATAATTCAATTGTCTTTGGTCGGTACAAATGAAGAACCCAAACTAATAAATGTTTATTTTTAATATGAGCGTGCAGCTGGAAACATGCACAAAAAGCACAAAAAATACAGTTTTCTCTAAAACATCTGAAAATATAGTTTTCGACTAAGTAGTTTTTTTTGGGTGGAACACAATGGCCGTGYAAAATGTACTTTCAATTAGTTCTCAAAATACGAATGCCAAACTAAAAAAATATATCTGAACTTCGAATTCGTCCCACTTAAGTTAGGATCATTCTRTATTTTGTGAATGTTTTTTCACTATTTTGTGAATGTGAAAATTTCAGAAACGACGTCAAAGAAAAACATCTTTCTGCATTTTTTGATTGGGTGGTCGAACAGAGTCTGGCAAGTAATTCAGACGTTTTCGTTAAATATGGAACCCTGGCCTGTATTGCGGTGATTATCAAGCATGGGAAAAGGGAAGATATATTGCCACATGCCTCAAAATTACTATCCTGGATAATAAATTCGGAATTCAAGGAAAGTTCAGGAACTAGTGTTCAAAAGTTGGTCTATAAAATTATACAAAGGATTGGTAAGTTTACAAGGCGTAAGATCTGATAGATGGTTGAATATTATAGCTTTTAAGGTTTTATTTATTTTCATGCAAATTCGATTTGCGTCTTTCATTTTATATTATTCAAAACAATGTGCACATATTACATAACACAGTGTCCCGTAAGAACATGATCAAAATGGCACTGAGACATTTTTTGTCTCAAAATAAAACGATCTGACCTAAGTTTTATTCAGAAAAAACGTCCGTCTTCTCTGCTATTGATGGTCAAAAAACTTAAAAAAATATCTTTGAAATATCGGGAGAATGGTGATATATGTAGATATTCATGAAACTCGCTGTGATTTTTATTTTTTTTATTTCAACTTTTATGTAAGGCTCATGTTTTTATGAAGGAACCGAGTTCATCCGCTTCGGGCAAGTGGTGAATTTTGAAGAAACGCTACAAACGAAAGTTTGAATCAGCCAAATCGAGTTTTTGTGTTTTTTGTTGTTTCTAGTTAATAATGGAGCATATTCTTCAAAAATGGTGTCTGAAAATGCACTATTAATAACTAGAGGCAAGAAAAGTTGTACACAGAAACTCGATTCTTTTATTGCAACTTTTATTTGTAGAGTCTTTTGAGTAACGTCGATCTTTACGATGCCGAAATATATTTTTATAATGAGAAATGTTTGAAGCAAGAGGTGAATTTTATATTCAGCTACACGATTCCAGTCTGTTAACGAAAGTCCTTCAAATGTTCCTTAATTTTCTTGAATTAACCTTCCCTTCTGAGAAAATTGCTGTTGATAAAGCACTTGGATTATAATTTTTAAACAAAAGAAAATTACGTTCTAGTCTCAAATGTTTTCACAATTTAGTTTAATCGACTTTTTAGTCATTGTGCATAAGTTCATCGATAATCACTTGAATTCCTGATAACTGGTTAAATATGGTTATAAAATATAAAACATTATAACTTTTCGCACAACTTTTCATGTCACTAGTTTGAAAACTTTTATGACTCAAACTGCGCTCCTAAAATATTTATACCAAATTTTGATGAATCTGTACAACCCTGAAAACACTTTTAAGGGCTAACATTTCTAACTCCGCGCGTTGTTTCGTGGAGATACCAACGCGGCAATCGATCGTTAGCAACAAATTTAAATGCTGCTGGTGATTTGTCGTTCAATGAAGCAACTGAACAACCGGAAGAATATATACATGTACCAGACGAGGTTGAAGAAGTTATTGATCAACTCATACATGGATTGAGATGTGACGATAGTTGTGTAAGGTGAATAAGAAAATGTATTTGATTTTAACAGTTTATAATGCATAATTGCTTCTGAAGATGGTCAGCAGCAAAAGGAGTTGGCCGAGTAACTGCTCGGCTGCCAAAAGAGTTGGCCGATGAAGTCGTGGGCTCAGTATTAGAACTGCTTGGACCGAGAGAAAATGATGCTGCTTGGCATGGGGGGTGTATTGCTTTAGCAGAATTAGGTACTTCAACCTCATTTTGATATGCAAACAGAACTTTGAAGTGGTTCACATTATTCGTAGGCAGAAGAGGGTTGCTGTTGCCAGAAAGACTTCCGCAAGTGGTTCCCTTAATTGTTAAGGGCTTGGTTTATGACGAACCGAAAGGTTATTCTTCAGTTGGTTCCCATATCAGAGACGCAGCTTGCTATGTGTGTTGGTCGTTTGCTAGAGCGTATGAACCGCAAGATTTAGCTCCTTATGTGGGCGATATTGCGAGCACTTTATTAATAGTGACTTGTTTTGATAGAGAGGTACTTTGATCGAAACTACGTGCAACATTGCGACTTTATGCCTTGTGGTTTCAGATTAATTGCCGAAGGGCCGCATCAGCATCTTTCCAAGAAAACGTTGGCAGACAGGGAACGTTTCCTCATGGAATCGACATTCTCACAGTGGCTGACTTCTATGCAGTTAGTGTTAGGAATACGTCTTACCTCAACATCAGCGTTTTCATAGCACAGTTCGAAGAATATACAATTCCTTTTATTGATCACCTTGTCAATAGGAAAGTCGATCACTGGGACATTGCCATCAGAGAACTCACCGCCAAAGCCTTGCACAATCTCACCTCACAGGTTTGCTGAACTAATTTCCTTTTCTCCGCTTCTTAGTTCGGGTTTTTTTAGGCTCCTCGGTACATGATCGACAAGATTTTGCCAGTTTTGCTTGATAAAACCGCCAGCATTGACTTGAATTGCCGTCACGGTTCTGTTATTGCTATAGGGGAAGTTGTCTATGCCCTATCTAAAATCACTGGACGAAATGATTTGCAGTTAGCTGAACCTCTTCTGCGGAGCATAAAAGGTCTGATTCCGAAATTTAAAGAAAGCTTGTATTTCCGCGGCTTGGGAGGCGAGCTAATGAAGCAAGCAAGCTCTGATTTAATAGAAAAATGCTCTTTAGCTAAACTGTCCTTCCATAATGACAGTGTTGTAGGTGAGTACTCCAAAACATCTATCCCTTAAAATCAGAGGTCAAAAGTAACAATATTTTTTCATATGTTCTTTTAAATTTTACTTGAAAAAATCTTCACTTTTCAGAAGAGTGGTTACAACTACTTAATGATACTTTGTCATACGAGGTGACCAACGTTCGTTTAGCAGCAGTTGCCGCTCTCCCAATACTATTAAACGAATTTTATGCGTCAACCGATAAACTGGAGATTAACCGGACAATGATTAAGAACTATGCATCCGAACTATTAATGGAAGTTAAGCAGTCATCAAGAATGGGCCATGCTTTGGCTTTGGGTTCCCTCCCAAAGCACATTCTTCAGCCCAACCTTGATTTCATTGTTGAGGCGTTAATTAGCTCTATAGCACCGACTGAAGCAACAGCAAAGTGGGCCGAAAGTAGACGAGATGGTGTCAAAGCCTTAACTTTAGTTATCTCAACTATGGCGGATGAAATTGGAAAAAGTGCGTCTTTAGCAAAGGTTTTTCTGTATCTTCTAATGGATAATTGTAGGTTTTAATGAGAGCCACGTGAAGAGTGTTTATGATATATTTTTCGCTGGGTTGAAGGATTACACTCAGGATAAGCGGGGCGATATTGGGGCTTGGGTTAGAGAAGCTTGTGTTACGGGACTACAGGTTAATAGTAGCTGGCGTGTATGTTTATGTCTTCAGTTTTTATACTTTTAGATTTTAACATTAACTATGGCCGAAAAAAATCCTCAATTTTTTACATCAGAATTAGTCAACAACATTTTATCAAACATAGCGCAGCAGGCAATGGAGAAAATTGATAGAACTCGAGCTTTATCTGGAAAAGTGTTTTTCAGCTTCATTTACAAGTGAGTTTTTGTTGTTACTTTATTCCACATCAAATGTACTACTATACTAAAAAAATGTTAAATTAATTTTAAAACATCACTCATAACTATTCGTTTACCCAAACGACATTGTACAGAAAAATGCTACTATTTCTTACAAAAAAACACTAGCTATTTGTTTTTAGCAACCCTCGAGTTCCCAATATTGCTTATTACGACGAACTGTCGTTAATATTTCCGAAGGAAGAGTGCAGTATCCTAAATTGGAATTCAGAACGATGTACTTTCCCCAAATTTGTGCAACTGATACAATTTAATCCATATACATACAATGTGTTAATAGGATTGATTTGCAGCATAGGCAGCCGAACTGAATCACTGGTAAGAGATTATGTTCATTGTCCGATTAACGAATTGTTTCGTTGAAGAATTGACATATAGGCGGCATATAATTTATTAGGCTAAAAATGAAGAATTGAATTGAACTTCATGCTATGCATTAAAAAAGGATTTTTTCGTAGTTAAAAAGCTCTGGTTCGTCGCTATTTATCTACCTAAAAGAACAAGAGAAATTAAAAGGACCGGCGGAGATTCACAGAATTTGCGAAACAATTTTGAGTATTTTTGTTCATTATCAGAAGCAAGACAGAATAACTGTCCCCTTGTTAAGGTTAGTATAGTAACAATCCTGCAAATTGAGTCCATATTTGATGTTGATTCTACTAAAATACAAACTGAATTCTCTTACTTTATTTTTTTTGATAAATTAATTTTCTTTATAAATATGATAACACGTTTTAGATTTCTGGATAAACTGTTTGATTCTGGATGCATAGCGTCCATTTTAGAAGATAAAAACTCCGACTTTGTTAAACGAATTTTAAAGCTCGTACAAGTTGAAATATCTGGCTGCAAGGATATTTACAAGTTGATCGATGGCATATGTGTTTTGTGCCAATTTATCCAAGTAAGTTACTTCAACCAATGAATTTCTTTCTGTCTTTCCCTACTCAATAATCTGGCTAAATTTTAACATTTTTTATACTTAGATTCCCGGTGAGGTTTGCAAAACCGCTCTCGTTCAAGTAAGCATTCTTCTATGTCATTGCCGACCTTATGTGAGACGTTCAACCGCCGCCAAATTGTATGAGTCTCTCCTGGTCGCTGGAGACAGTTGCGATATTCCATCAGAAAATTTGGATGAAATCATGCAAGTTGTTAGCGATACCAATTGGGAACTTCCTGTAGTTGAAATAAGAGAAATACGAAACAGCTTATGCCAACTGATGCGAGTCCGAGTCCCTACTCTTGTGAAAAAGAAAGCCTAAAAGATCTATTTTAATATACCGAGCCGAGCAACAACTTTAACGTATTATGGTCGACAATGAAACAATATTTAACCGAATAGCTGTGATAACAAAGGGATGTAGGTATATGATTTTGGCAAAATGCACTGTTGTTGCTGGTTAAATACACAATATTTATGCTTTCATATTAGTAAACTAACTGAAATTTCTATTAACCAGATTCCTTCTAATTCCGAGCATTTATTATCTGTAATTGTTCCAGTGCATAATGTGCGTACTATTTTTTATTTTAATATAAACTTGCTCTACACATGTGTTGTGTTTTAATTAGTCCAATTTAATTGTACAATTTACTGAGGTAGTTTTGAAATAAAACCCTGTAACTTACAAACAATTTTCCTATATTTTATCGCCGTACATAAGAATTAAGTCTAACTAGGTATTAAATAAATAAATCAGTTTCCGGAACATGTTACATACTTTTTCCTTTTACACAATAAAAGAATCTAAATAGTTCACTTCGTTGAAATCAGCAAAGGTATAACCACTGAAACATGCTGCATACTCACAATGTTCAACAACTGATATGGAACATTTGACAAACTTCTATAGAAAATACCCTTAATACCTAATCGTTTAGAAATCCTTAAACAACAGTAAAAATAAAAATATGGAATAATATAACTGAACAACCCGTTTATGACCTAGTATATACAGAAATTTAAACAATGTGTGGAAACCTGAAATAGTTGTGAGGTATAAAAAAGTGGCATTAATGAACTCCATTAATGCTTGGGTAATGGTTCTGATACTGCAGAAGGATCAATATAGCAACAGATTTTTACAAAACTATATTATCGATAACATTCAGCTGAGAACGAATACTCTTAATTGAGAACAAAAAGATACACTGATATTTGATTCGCAACAATGATGCAGTGCACGTTGTTTTTGAGCTAAAAAGTAAGCGAAATCACCAAGTTGATTTTTGAGCGAATTCTCTTGGGCTAGTTCCGAACTGAACCAAGATAATTCGCAACAATGTTATACTACAGTAAACCCTCTTTAATCCGAATTGCCAGTAAAACGAACGAATAAATTGGCGTGAATTTTACACATTAGGAAGTTATTTAATGGACAGCCGGTCAAATGATTCGCGATATGCACAAAATGAGCTTTAAAAATTCCTGAATCGGAACACCCATCTTTTAACTTTAACAGAAATGGAAAAACCGGCTTTTAAGGATGGAACGCCGATTAACAAGATCAGATTCGCGGACGATACGGTTATTAGCAGACAGTCTAGAGGTCCTTCAGAGAATATGAGTTGACGCGCTAAACGCCAAAAAAACGAAATTTATCATGATAACAAAAAATCAGAATACGGATAATCTAACACTTAACAACAGGACTTTTGAATTGGTAGACAACTACAGATATCTAGGCACAACGTTCAGCTCCATCCGATTACTTTAAAGGAAACAAAATACTAATAGAAAAGGCACGAACAAACTTGTAATTAATAAGCTGAAAAGAGTGCTCTGTACAAGGGATTTGAGGCTGGATCTGAGACTCAGAATAGCAAGGTGCTACGTCTTTTCGACTTAGCTTTATGGAATGAATTCTTGGGCCCTGAACGCAGCAACTGTACCAAAGCTGGAATCCTTTGAGATGTGGGTGTATAGAAGAACATTAAAAATATCATAGACGGGACACGTGACAAACAACCAAATGGTGAGGAGAATGAGCAGCTGAAGATTACGGAAACCATCAAGCACGTAAAGAAGAAAGACACTAAACCGACTAAGATCACTATTTTTTTTACATCGACATAGATTTACAAATATGTATTACGTATGTATAAAAATTTAGCCATTTTATGTAGGCACACGGTTATTATTTTAATGTATGCATATTTTATACTTTCGGTTATCTAGTAAAATTTGCAGTAAAAATAAAGAAATTTTGATTATTTGCCCGTGCAACAGTGGCGGATTAACCAAGGGGCAACCAGGGGCTGAAGTCCCAGGACCCGCGAACTCTGAATTTTCAAAATTTACGTGGATCCTATATGAATTTCAGTCCCAGGCCTCGTAAAGCTTTAATCCGCCCCTGCCTTGCAATAATTAGTTCGGATTAAAGAGGAATACTGGACCTACCTATTTGAATATGAATGAAATAAATCGGCTGCATAGTGCCTTTGCGTAGGTTAATGCAAGAAATTCTCAGTCCTTTGGTTGAGAACCCTTAAAATCTGTTCGACATAAAAATCTTATCTAACTTATAAAAAACAGTTATGTTTACTTCAGCTGTATGTAATCACCTGGTAGAAAATTGGACAATAATTTGGACTTTACTAGCGTTACACCAAGCCTTAGGGAATAATGAATTTGAATGAATTGAACGATCTTATATCTTAATTAGCTAAAATTGAAGAGGGTAAAGTGAAATTTCTGCGCTCGATTGTATGAATTCCTACTTGTAACTGATCTGTTGCATTATGAATGTTGTTATTCCAAATCTCATTATTAACAATGTGTCCATCAAAATAGCTGAGATATAAATGGGTGAAACATGACATAGACGAGTAATGAGTAGTTTAATGCTCACTGTTTGATTATCTGCAGTATGAACCTGGTTATGAGGTAAATAGTGGTTGTTCAAATTACAGAAAAGATGAGCCTGTTAAGCTACGAAGTCCAACGGTCTGTTAAAACCTCCCTTTCGGTTCATGTATTGTCTGTACTTTCTTTTGAGAATCACATGTACTGTACCTGCATCATTCCCTTCAACTTTTTTACCTTTCGTTGTATCGAAAGAACAGAAACCCATCAGTCTCATCATGTCCTGTTGGTCCTCAGTTTTTCCTTCCAGATCAGCTGCAGTTACTGTGGGTCGGTCGGCAAGAAGCCCGCTTTTCCTCCCAAGGGAACGCGAACGGGATCTGCTCCTTGAACGTGACAGACGTCGTCTTTCATGGGAATGACGTCTCCTTTCCCTATCCCTTTCTCGCGATCTATCTCTAGACCTTTTCCTTCTGTGTCGTTCCTTGTCTCGTTCCCGTTCTCTATCCCTTTCTTTATCCCGTCGTCTTCCTGGCCCAAAAGGAGATTTCGACCTACTACGTCGACCCATTAATGCAGTCTGAAAAAAGAAAACGAACGACTTTTTATCGACAACGGAAAAACGCTTTTTTCGATCGAGAACAGAAAAAGGCAAAAAGAACGGCGATTTTTACCTGATTTTTTCGTTTTTAAAACACCCACGACATAACCACCAACAATAAAAATGCCCGAAATAAAATGTCGATTTTAGTTGATATTTTTTACGCTGAGCGCTGCTGTTTCCAATCTGTAAAAATCTACCAAAACATGCCTTTTGTACTGATGCCATAAGGCTCAAAATCCACTGCTGTGGCTGCTTATGCTCTGTTGCCGCTGTTCATCATTTTTATTGATAGTCAACATTCTTAAAACCTTGTTTGATGAATTAATTACAAATTTTTTGAGAATTTAATTAGGCTCTAGATTATTTACTTGAAAACTTGTCAAATTGGTACAATTGAAAGGGGAGACGAGAATATCTTTCATTGACACAGCGTGGCTACTAGATGGGTAGTTTTAAGCAAAAATTATTTAATTCTCGTTTTACCTCAAAAAAATTTAGCTAAATTCTCAATTAATTTAACTATATAGCTTCTCTTAACAGCTTGCATTTATTTCACTCTAACAAAGTTTCTAAGAGGTTCGAAAACTGCCAGTAGAATAATTTCGGCTTAAAAGAAAGAATCGCAGCATTGCGTTGAGGCTGTTTTAAAGCCCGCAAATGTGAGAATACAACAGTAAAGTCATGATAAATACGCAAAAAAACGAAAAATATTGATCGGTAAAGATAATTACTGAACGAACACTTGATTAAGGTACTTTTGTTCGTTATGTATTTTTAGTGTTCATTAAGAAATTATACGTGATCTGAGTAGTCCGTGAATTAGAAGTTTTGTAAGTTGCAGATGGTTTAGAATCGTAAAACTTTGTTTGCTGGTCTAACGAGTCATGCTTGACTCAATGTGACATAGATTCAGCCCTGCCGATATACAGGGTGCACAAAAATTATAACCTTCCTTTGTTATTGTTGGTTGGTTGCTAAATCAACTGCAAGTTAGAAAAGCTGTACTCGGAATATGTATGTTTAAAATAAAGGTTTCTTCAGAAGTGCCAATTTAAATTTCGGTTATTTAACTGACACTGAAAAATTTGCTTTGCAGATTCAACAAAAAAATGTTAATAATAGTTTTCGATAGAAGGGCGAAAAACGGATTTCCGCCCTCGTATCGAACAACATTTTTTATTCGAATGAAAAACATAACACGAATCATAAGTTATAATAAATAAGAATAGCTAAAAGTAAAATTCATTAACTTCATATTTTAAATCTGATGTCAATGCCATTTTTGAAATTGTCACGTTTCAACGGTTGTAATTTTTCAAAACCGTACTTTTGTAAGCATAGAAATACAACTGAAACAATGAGTGTTGAACATTCAAGTGCTGCTTTCAAGGTTCAAGTGTTTGTATAGATGCATATTTTGCATGAAATTTGCGTTATTTAAAGAAATCGTGTTTTGCTTGTGGGAACTTCGGCCAGCGCAGAAAAATAGACCATTTGAACGACTTTGAGGCTAAACTTGTAACAAAGGTAAAATTTAGAAATTGTAAGTAAACTTTAAATTATAATCAATAGTTGTCGATAAACCTATGGAATTCATTAATAGTAGTTTTCGACACAGGGGCGAAAAGTGTCGTTATTTGAACGAGGACGGCGTTTGACACCCCAGACCAAGTCGAGGGTGTAAATCCGTTAGGAGTTTGATAAATGGATTTTCGCCCTCGTATCGAACAACATTTTTTTATTCGAATAACAAACATAACACGAATCGGGAGTTATAATAAATAATAATACCCAAAAATAAAAGGCATCAACTTCATATATTAAATCTGATGTCAATGTCATTTTTGAAATTGTCACGTTTTAACGATTGTAATTTTTCAAAAGCGTACTTTTGTAAGCATATAAATGCAACTGAAACAATGTCGGGTTGAAAATTCAAGTGCTGCTTTCACGGTATGATGTGTGTATAAGTTGCAAATTTTGCATGAAATTTGCGCTATTTAAAAAATCGTGTTTTGCTTGTGGCAACATCGGCGAGCGCAGAAAAATAAACCTTTAGAACGACTTTGAGACTGAACTGGTAACAAAGTTGAATTTACAAATTGTAAGTAAACTTTAAATTAAGATCAGTAGTTGTCGATAAACCTACGTAATTAATTAAAAAAGCATGTCGGTTACTTTTGAATAAAAATCATTTAAAAAATATAATGACAAAAAAACATCAGTCATCAAGTCGATAAATGGCACTTTTAGATTCATTCGAATAAAAAAAGCATATCGGTTACTTTTTAATGAAAATACTTGCAGTAAAACAAATGAACAGTAAAGAAACGTGCTTCTTTATGATCAATCACTTCCGGTCGAAAAATTGCACTTTTAGATTCATTCTAATAAAAATACATTTTTGCACTTGGTACTAGACCAATCAGATTTTGCATATACATACAATAAAACAAACTCACTGACCTGTCTAGGGAGCTCCCTCAAATGTTCTTCTTCAGCAAACCCCATGAATATTTCGCGAGAACCTTCTGCTGGCATTTCCAGATTTATAACCTACAAACGGGTTTCAAATACTGTCACTTTAGTAATTGACTTCGACAGAAGCTAAAATAAATCATTTGTTTCGTTGCTTGCTAAAATTATTGATTTTTGCATTGGTTTTCATTTGGAGTAATTCAGTCACTATTTTCCATAAAACTTTTTCTAACTAATTTCATTTTCCCTTGATTATTTTAGCCAGTGAAAAGTTTGTAAAATTGTGACAAACAATTTGAAACAAAAGAACAAAAATGTTTTTGACAAACTTCAGATTAATTTCCAAAAAATTCCTGCCAAAATTAAACGTTTCGCTCCATAGTTGATCTTCTTAACAGTTTAATTTCAAAAAAACTTTACAGTTTTTCCACCAAAGCTAGTTCATATCTCGGACATGAATTTCCTGACACATGAATACGTGGCAACGTTGGCCGTACGTCTTCTGGGACGAGTCGACGCAGTGCGTATTGCACTAAATGGCAAAGCGTAAGTGTAATTGAGGTGGAAGCAAATAGTCGTTGAGTTGTTTTGTAGGTGTCCGTGAAAGTATTGAAGGGGTTCGCGTTTAATTAGTTGAACATTAATTTACCCAAAGCCAAGCACTGACGGTTGACCTTGTTTTGCACAAAAACGGACCAATTTCAATCAAAAAGCTCTCGTGAGTCCTGTTGGGGCGTAGCTAATCTGTCGCTTTAGTGACATTAGTGGTGAATATTTTCGGCTGTGCCCGCCTGATCGTTTACCTGTCTTGCCTGTGATTACCGTTTACCGGTAAATCGTTGGACTATCGGCAAAACACACCAAACGGTAAGAATTTACATGAAACCTGTTTTTGAAAATGTTTTCGCCAGTAACCGTCACTGTTTTCTCTGGATGGCAACAATGTGATTAACTTTTTGACGTCAGGGTGTGTCAAGTGTTCATCGGCTCATCCATATATTGAAAATTAAATTTAAAATAAAAGTAATCAAATTGTGCCGGTTGAATGTTCTGATTGCCAATTGATTTTTAATCTCATTACATCAGAAAGGTAAATTGTGAAACACCGGCGACTTGAGGTTTGGGGTAAAGGTCAACAACACACTTATTAATTGGGTTAAGCACATTCAAATAAACTGATTAATTCATCCCTCGGTGTTACGGGAGTGCGATCGGGCTACTAAATATTGTCCAAACTTGAAATGTCACATAATTGTGACATTTTTTGGTTTATTTCAGGTTAGAAAATCGTATTTTTGTCATTTCTAGTGGATTTTTAAGTGCCAAACGGCTTTCAAATTTCCTTCTAAACAGCGATTGTTTTGGATTGAACATAGTCAAATAGTTAAACAGCTTAATTAATTCTTACGGGTTAAAAAAGTGTCAACGCTGGAAACGTCGAAAATTAAAGACATTTTTTAGGTTGTAAAACCGCATTTTTATAACTTTCAATAGATTTTTAAACGCCTCAATACTTCGGGTTTTTTTCACGTCGACCTAGAAACCCGAAAAACTTGCCAGTTTCAAGCAAAACAAATTAATTCCTTAATGCTTAGTGGCTGCCATGAGACGACAAAAGGTCAATACTGAAAACGTCAAAAAGGTAATCACATTTTTATGTGCCTTTAAAGTGAAAACACACGAATACACGAAACTCATTTTTAGATCTTATAATGCTTTGACATTGTTCTCTTAATGATGGTTCTCCAGATGAAACCCATTTGAATTAACAGATTAATTGATTCCTAAGTGTTAAGTGCATGTCACTTGACAAAATGTTGCCAAAACTAATAAACGTCAAAGAGTCATGATATTTTTATGTGTCTTTGAAGGGAAACACCTGTTTATAACACCAAATTCATTTTTAGATGTTATAATGCGGTGACATTGTTCTCTAAATGATAGCTATCTAGATTAAACCGATTTGATTAAACCTATTAGTTGAATCTTAAGTGTTAAGTGCATGTCACTTGACGAAGTGTCAAAACTGAAAACGTCAAATATTCATGACATTTTTTATGTCCTTTTAATGTAGGAAAACACATTTTTATAAAACCAAATAGATTTTTACATACCAAAATGCCTGACATTGTACTCGGAAGGACGGTTATTTAGATTAAACGTGTTTGAATAAACATATTAATCGACTTCGAATATCAGTCGATGGTGTTAAGTGAATTCCACTTTACGACAAAACGACAATTTCAACTGAAAAAACGTCAAATAATCATAACTTTTATGTGTATTTCAGGTTGAGGATATGTATTTTTACAGCTTCAAATAGACTTTTAAATGCCGTAATACTTTAACATTGTTGCTCTCCAAACAACGAATGTTTAGGTTAGAGCTTGAAGTGTTTAAAATAATAATTTTTCCGTTGTAATTAACGATTAAAATTTCGCATTTTTGCTCTACGTTTATACATTTTTACGACTGTCGAAACAAAAGCAAAATGGCACATATGAGGGACTTTGGCGCGCTAGTGTGACGTAAATATTTATTTAGAATTATCCTATAAAAAAACAGTAAATGTGCTTTGAATTCGTGTGGAAATTGTGGAGTTTAAAACTTTATTGATTTAGGAATATCGTTATTTTGTGTGATATTTATTGAACATACAGTTGAAATTATACCAAAATTTGAGATAACTGGTTTTTTAAACGCCAAAGGCGCAATAGAGAAGATCCAATATTCTGAATCTAAAATCGATTTTCTCCAGGAAAACCATCATTTTTAATACAAATGAAGTCAACATGTGTATTTGCCACAGTAACTCAGTTCTCTATTTTCCGCTTGATTTAAAATTTATCTAATTTTCTGGAATTTTTGGCTGGTCAAATTTCAATTTGAGCAGTTTACCATAGAAGTAAAATTCTGTTCTCAGGTAGGCACAGAAAGATCGTTTTTACAAAACTTCCAGTGATTTAAGTTTTTCGAATTCATGAATATTCTGTGCAATCTAGTTCCTAACTGCAACCAATATATTTTCTACATTTTGATCAATAACGAAAAACAGAAACTCCACCGATAAAAAAATGCTTTTACATTTTTTTTCATATCCATATCCATACATATTTTTAACTTATGTAATATGGATTGAATTTAATATAATCCAATACCTCTACTGGGGGAGTGCTTTCTAAGTGATGGACTCGGATCAAATTACAATAATTACAATGAACAATAATACTTTTATGACTTATGCGAAATGTGTTTACGTTTAATGAACTGCAAGAAATGCCTTTACTGAGTTTAGTAATTTATTGCACGTACACGTGTACGAATGTAATGATACGAAAAGGAAAAACTGTACTTTGTCTTGTTACCCATATACCATAAAACGGACATCGACCGAGACGTTAATTCCTGGTACTTTAACAACTAGCTGTACTTTTATTTGCGGAAAACTCTTTAAAAGGTATTGCAATTCCATTAGAATAAGTACTACATGCCCCAATGGATTTCAACTTTTTTTTTCAATTACTCGTTGGCTCAACCACGTGACAAATAGCATCACCGATTTTTCAGTTTTTGTCTTGTTCGAACAATAGTTCCCAGGTTAGGAATTTCATCATTGTTGTGACCCACTTTTCTTTATTAAAAAATTGTGTAAAATTTCCGTTCCGCTTTGTTTCATTATTCTTTACTTTTCGGAACGTTTTGGTGGCAAAAAATTAATAACAGTTGGTAATTGATTTTTAATGGAGATTACCTGGGTCAGTTGCATTTCCTCCAACCAAAAAATACAATATTAATATAATCAGTGAACGCCCATGATCCTATCCTGCTCTTTGTTATCAAGTTCGTATTATAAAGGATGATCTCATCTCACATTCAGTGCAAAAGTTGTTTGTTACACAACATTCTATGTTGTCTCCTGTTTGTTTCGCAATACTGTTTCACTAAAAAGTTATGTAGAATTTTTTTTATTGTTATAAATTTACTTAATGCGTTTAGGTGTTTGATGAAATCATTATTTTGGCTCATCTAATTGTATTCAATTGGTTTTATAATAGTGATAACCGCTATCTATTACGATATTGCGAATTTTGACTAACACTAGTCATTTTTAATACCGATGTAAACGAAGTTCTTTCTAAATATCATTGCTCCAGTGACTGGAAGGTGCAGTCAACACTTGTTTTCATAACTTTTATGTGTTTAACTACATCCAACGTGGTACTTTCAGTAAATTTAACCCGACCTTCAGATTATTATATTGGGTAGTAATTGGTTTTATTTCGGAGATTTTTTGAATTTTTGTCTAATCTGTATTTATCTTTGAGAGCATAATTTTATATACATACATGGCACCTTATCTTCAAAGTATAGAGACCCTTAATTCCTCATAACAAGTTACGACAGTAAAATATTATCTTCTATTGCATTTGCGTGCTTATTTTCTTACTTACTTTAGTAAACTTTATGTTAAGAGATGGCTTATTTAGTGGGCAATATTTTGTTTTGTACTTGATACGGGCACATTGTATTTATGGTATTAAAAGATTCGACTGTAAAAAGATGTATCTCGCTTGGCTCATAATTCGACCAGTCACGGTGTTGATATTCAAAAAAGGCAACAATTTCGAGCAACGGTATGTTCGTAAATTGATTGTTTCCTGCAAACTATTGGAAAAGTTGCTTTAAAGGCCTTAACTTTCTAGTTTTCACGAAAATTTAAAATTTTGGAACCGGTTGAGCAGTAAAGATGTAGCTTTGTGTGGATTCTTTATTAAACTGTCTAATTTATTTATTATAATCTGCAAAAATTATTTGGTATTAACTGGAAAAGTATCATTTATAAAATGGGCACATAATTCATAACATTGTTGCTATATCAAAATTTCGAAATTTTTCTTGGTTAACTACTAGGTTGAATCAAGACCGAAGAGCCAGAGTTAAAGGACATTTTTTAAGAATTAATAGTTCATAAAATGCTACATATTTATTACTCTTACGTTCAACACTCCAATGAAATATTCCCATTATAAGTGAGAAACTAAAATTTTGTGATGAAATGTTTCGGCTAGAAAAGTTACGTTAGATGACTATTTACTGAGCGCATAATTCACAGATCTGTACCTGTGTATGTGTACTTTTATAATGATTGTATGTACCTAATATCTTATCGATCGAACAATTTTTATTAGCAAATTAAAAGTGAATTTCTCTGTTTCTAGCGTCTAAGATCCATATTTGCTTTTTAGATAACTGTTTCAAAAGTGTAAATGTGTGATGGAATATAACAACTTACGTAAAATACAAAGTACATATAAATTATACATACTACATAGAATCATGTACAAATGAATGCGGAAAGTTCATGTTTCTGACTACTTTAATAATTTATTAAATAATAAGTTGCGGATTATCATTCGAAATACATACTCGTGTATATTTAAATATTTTAATTTTATAGGAGTTTTTTCTAATAGATACTAACTAATAATCTAACTACTAATAATTTTTTTAGAAATCACATACCTAAATGTCTAAATTTTCCAAAAGTTTATTCCGATAGCAAATTGCAGCAGATGCAAGGCTCTTATCACTATATTTCGTGGGTTTATAGCTAAAAGTGACCAAGTCCAAAATTGCCGTATTTGTGTTTGTTGATCAAGTAATAAAAAAAAAAATATACATATTTGTGTTCAAAAACTGATGAAGTCCCCCAAGGCCAGACAAACAGGTGCACTAAAATATATTTTTAATGACCAAGTTTCCAAAAGGATAAAAGTGCATTTACCAAAATTTGACATCTTAGACCTGGTCTATTGGTAGAATTTTTTACTTTGTATGTGCTAATAATAAATTGGTCATTAATCACGTGTCTGCAAAATTTGGTTAATTATGCTGAATTTTAATGTATGACATTATACATCGATTATTTATTTCTATCTGAAAAACTATTAAAAACATTTTATCAGAAAGACCACACACTTCCATATGATTATGAAACCTACCTGTATAATCGTATTATTCAACAGTTTTACTAAGCTAGGAAGGTTTACCTTGTTTGTCCAAAAGTGCAACTCTTATGGGTTCTTTACGTATCAAGTGAATATAATGATCATACTTTTGGAAGACCAACTTGCATAAGTTTTCTTGCATATTGAATGGATGTTTCAAATCAAGCAAATTTCACCGTGCAGATACTAATCGAAAGAACGGATACTCAATATTCTAATCTTGGTAAATCAGCCAAGCGCGCTTTTTGGTAGATATAAAAGAACTAACTGTTTTACTAACCTTATAGTAAATGTAGTAATTGTTTGACTTAACAACCGATCAACGTACACAGCCTATTTATTGCCATAGGGTAATCTTTTTAGGTTTGGATGATCCAGGAAGTGGATACCATCGAAAACCTAAAAGCATGAACTAAGAGGCAAACGGAAAGGCATCAGTTACTCATTCTTGTGCTTCATCAATCAGGATCGAACGGAAATGTCCGCCAGCAACTTGAAAATGCTTAGTGAGGAAAGTCTCACTAGACAGCCCGAGGAGGTTTTTGATATCATTTGTAAGCTGGGAGAAGGAGCTTATGGTAGTGTTTATAAAGCTTTGCATAAAGAATCTGATAGTGTTGTAGCCATTAAACAAGTACCATTAGACACAGATTTGCATGAAATTATCAAGGAAATCTCCATAATGCAACAGTGCGACAGCCCATATGTTGTGAGGTATTATGGAAGCTATTTTAAAAATACTGATCTATGGATCATAATGGAATATTGTGGAGCAGGCAGTGTTTCTGATATTATACGTCTCAGAAAAAAGACCTTAACAGAATGCGAAATAGCCACCATTTTATCGGATGCTCTAAAAGGGTTGGAGTACCTCCATTCCAATCGAAAGATCCATCGAGACATCAAAGCAGGGAATATTCTTTTGAACACGGATGGACATGCAAAGCTAGCAGATTTTGGGGTTGCAGGACAACTAACCGAGACTATTTCCAAAAGGAATACAGTTATTGGTTCCCCTTTTTGGATGGCTCCCGAAATCATCCTGGAAATTGGATACGATTGCGTAGCAGATATCTGGAGCATTGGTATAACAGCCCTTGAAATGGCCGAGGGCAAACCACCTTACGCAGATATTCATCCAATGAGGGCCGTGTTTATGATTCCCACCAAGCCTCCTCCGTCTTTCCGCGATCCAGATCGATGGAGTGCCGAATTTATCGATTTCGTCAGTGTATGTCTGGTGAAAAATCCTTGTGATCGAGCTTCAGCTACCGATCTTATACAGCATCTGTTTCTGCAAAAATCCGGTGGAGCTCAAGCGCTGGCTCAGATGATTTCAGAAGCTTGTGATATCCGAAAGAATCAAAACTACAGCAGAGTGCTTTTGCATGGACAACACAAGAAGACTGTTGCTGATGCTGATGCGGAGGCTACTTTAGTGCCAAGTAAAACACCCAGCCAAAGTGCCACCATGGTGACTTTGCAATCTGATTTGGGTACAATGGTGGTTATAAATAGCGACGACGAAGATGGTGAAAGAACAATGAAGTCTGAAGAGACTAAAAAATATAAGCCGTTATTTTTGGAACATTTTGACCAAGCTGAATCGGAACAAGGTTCTAAAGACGCAGCGGCCCATCCGAATTTTGCCGTTTCATCTAGTGGAGCAATCGCTCAACAGTCCCAAAGCAACTTGGAACCTCTCGATGTTAAACTGCAACGAATCAAACCCGTTAACACCGATTTTAGTTTTCTGAAGGATTTGTCGTATGAAGAATTGAAGGAACGGTTTGATCTTTTGGACACTGCAATGGAAAAGGAAATCGAGGAGCTACATACTCATTACATTTTGAAAAAACAACCAGTAGAAAATGTGATTCATAACAAGAGAGAGCGAAACAGGAATTTTTAAGTAGACTAAGTTTTTTACGCTGTGACGAGGTCTTTGGGCTTTTAGATAATGCTTAGTGGAAATAGATGTTTTCATTTCAACTTGGATGTGTTTTTGTTTTCTTTGATACTTATCTTTGTTTGTTAAGTCCATGTTGGAATTGGATTGTCCCCGACTAATATAAAAAAATCGTAAAGTGCTTATATGATAGCGAATTGGGTCCCACGTAGTCCAAGTATTTGCACAATTTTGTTAAACAAAATATTTATGACTGCTTGCTAAAAATAGAATTCCCATAAAGTGACTGAGTGACCTTGTCACATCTTCTTTAAGATGTATCCTCTATTTTATCCGGTCAACTATGTTCTCGATTAGTGGACTGGGTAGTTTTGGCGTACTTTGTTTTTGTGGGAATTAATTAAAATATTTATCAATGACTAATAGTTCAGTCTCCATGGGACGTTTATTTTTAACTCTAACATTACCATTGAGGATGATATTGAAACAACTCCGAAAGCTTAGATGCAGGGGTTGCAAACAAGTCGACCAGACCACCTGTACATACAGCAGAAAGTCATTTTTTAAATTTGCTTGTTTCGAAAATAAAGTCTTAGGCCGTCAAGCCCCATTAGGAAACGTTCAGTCCCAGCTGATGAGGAGGAAGAGTATATCAGGATGGCACAAATTGAGTAACCTAAAGGCCCCACTTAAATTAGGAATAATAATAAAGGAAATTAAATACATTCATTTCACTTTCAAGTTTTCTTTGGAAACAAATATGCACCAATTCTACCACTAGTATAATCGGAAGCAGGCAATTATTGAAAAATTGTGAATTAATCTAGGACAAGACAGCGATTTTCTTCTACCTTTCTCGAATGTTGCTATAATTAATGATCCTGGTGAAGAACCAGTAATGTAATAAACACATCGCCCCCATCCTGGAAAGTTCAATGACATTTAAATGAACATTCAGTATTCAGTTTTATTTTATTCTAATGCCTTTGTTGCAGCGACGCCTTTGAAAATGATTGTGCTTTGGTTATATTTGTTTGATGTGCGTTCTTCTGCGACAGATTCGAATTTATTCATATTTTTAGAACACATTTAACCTGTCGTATTAAACATTTATTTTTCATTCCATCAACATGCTTGAGGTTTTTGATGTAGTGCTTTTGGACAGAAAATCAGTTTAAATTAATTACGCAAAAAACTTATGAAATATATGTAGAAGAGAAAAACTTATACATTAGGCAATATAGTTTATTTGAAAACGTCAATATTTTGCATTTGCTATACATAAAATTTAATACAATAATGGCAAGTGGGTACTCACTTAGTCTATAGAACACAATTGATCTTTTGCCTTGGATTTTATGATTAACTAATTATAGTAAAGGGTAACTTCACTAGTAATTGCCTATATGAAAATGGGTTTTTATGAAGAAAAATAGAAAAGCTATTAAGAACCTTTGTGTGCATAAAACATGCACAATAAAAAAATATTCCAACAACTGCTATGCAAATAACAAAAAGTACCTGTACTTATTTATTATTTAATTTGCCTAAAAGAAGCAACAGCCTTACATGTTCTGACAATGAAGAATGGTAAATGCATAAACATTGCTTGCCTTTTAACGAATGACACTCACATTTAATTAATTGAATATTCATTTCCACTAGCCAACATTTTTTTCTAATATCGTGATTGATCAATTGATCAAAAGCTAAACAAATCACGTGTTTTCAAGTGAATATGCTAGATGCTTGATTCCATCAATTTATTTTTTGTTTTGTGTATTGATTAATTAAACAGCATTTGGATTAAAATAACTGATATAACTTTCTTTGCGCATGTATTATTCACCGTCTAACGACTGCATTTCATTTCTAATCAATATTATTATTTGGTGCAAATATTTGAATGAATCCCGCACTATTGATCTCGACATCGAACAAGTGGCAAATCAAATCCGACATATTTAAATCCAATACAGACTTCAAGTCAATGAAAATCCTCTACCTAATACCTGTAAGTAGATAATGTTGTTCAAGATGAAGGTTAAGGAATTTCGAGGTTTTTGACTCCGAAAGCTTTTGTATTATGACTGTAGGCTATTTTAAAAATAAATGGTTATTTTGGTTTTTGTTTGGAAAGAACCGGCTTGTTTATCCTTTACCCAATTTATTATTAAACCGACATATACAATTAATATCGCTTTCAATTATTGCTGTGAATTGAATTAATGTAATCGTCCTAAATCCAACTGTGTTATATTAACTAGTTTTGATAAAGTAATGAATAAATATATTTTTACATGAATTACAGTCGTTTGAATGTCAGAACTTGCAATAATCCTTTCCCCCATTCCCAACTGAATAATATATTTTCAATCTGGGGACAAGAGTAATTTCAGTTTTTTTTTAGAAAGGAAAAGCGTTTTTAAACGTTTATAATAACGTCACAATCCGCGATGGATCGAAGAAATACATCCACTAGAAAAAGCTCATTTATTTCTTAATTTTTTACAACTTTCATCAGATAGACTAAACCTTGGCTAGATGTTTTAAATTGCTTTTCAGTATCAACTCCAGGTAGAGTCAACATTACATTATTACTTCGCCTGACTATAATTATATTTTTTTTTGTGTAACTGGCGAAAAAGATAAGATGCTTAATATTATATTTCTTCAAGCAAAACAACGAACTTTCAGTTCAATGCGAGATAAATATGGGTTTTATTGAATGGGAACTCGTTAAACCGCATTTATATTACATTTATGTACTTAGATTATGAAATTTGATAAAGCGTCGTTAATACTGACAAATTTCATGATTTATCGTTTAGTTTCGTATCATTCCAGGTCATATGCCACATAGATTGTCACTATTTAATTTATCCACCACATACGTGTGTGTGTGTATAAGTGAACTTACACTAGGAAAACCATACGGGTATTGTTGAATTGAAGTGTCTATAATTATGTTATTATTTAACTATTTCGTATTTAAATCAGGCATCAAATACATTTAAGAAATCGCCAATAAAAACAGCAAAATTGTCGCAGAAGTATTAAATATTACTAGCTGAAGCTGTTCTGTTTGTTATTGGTTCTGTTCCAATAACTATAAACGCCCATTTCGTGATTATTACTATGTTCCTATCTATTTTAATCGTGTGGTTACGTTGAGCGTTTAAATTAAATTAACTACTTCACTAATTTAATGAAGTGGTTATTGCATGTTTTTGTAATAATTTATTTTTAATTAGTAATATTGAGCAATATAATAAATATAGGCCCCTATATCAATGTAGAAAAACCTATTGCAAATCCGGGGACATACATTATCGTGTACTATTTCGAATTTCAATTACATGCACAATTATATTCGATTTGATTGGTTCTCCTACTAGTTAAGCTAGCAGAAAAATGAATAATATTCAGGATCTAGGTGCATAATACAGACTGTTTGATACCAACATTGTATCTGTATTTCAATTAAACCTTTGGTCAAATATATCATTTTATATCTTTTTATTTATTAAAGGGTTTTTATAAGTAATTACGTTCTATTATCCCAGTAAAACAATTCTATGACGCCTATTTATATTTGCCATTGTACAGTGTTTCCTTAAAATATCCATTGAAAATCAATAGCACTGAAGCTATCTATAATTCTGTTATAACGGGACTATTTACTTTCATACTGTGCCAATTTCCAATTCCATATAAGTATAGAGTCTGCCAGTAGCGATAAAAATACTGTCACTTCATATTAATAACCAACAAAACAAATTTAAGGTGCAAAGCATGGTAATTAATTAAGAAAGTAAGTTCTTGGTAGATATTGATGTCGGAAAAGTAGACAGTATTCAAACAGTTTGTATTGAAATAATATTATGATTTGTTGGCAGACTGTTGAAGTGAAACTGAAAAGAGGGGAAACATTAATAATAATCTGAAAATAATACAAACATGTATGGCAACAATGTGATAATCCTTACAGGCTAGAAACTGGCGAGTTTTTCCTCGATTGCGTAAGTTTTATTATTTAAAAATTATACAATTTTTAATTTAATTTAAATTTTAACCGCCAGTTTCGTTTACACATATGAATGTTTCTTCAATTAAGTGATCAAAGTTCTTCGATAAAATGTCACCGTTGAATCACTACAAATAAAAAAATCGGAGTTTTGTTAACTCGAAGCCTGCAATGTTTAGATTAAATAAATATATATGTAATTGAAATGATTCATTTATTTCAGTTTTAAAGCTAATCTCTATTTGACTAGCCTATATGAATAAACATGCCATTATCAAGAGGATAACGAAAACAAACAAAACATATTTAAGTAAAGTCACACATATGTTTGAAAGTTTATCTGAATTGCAAATAGCGCGAATTACACCGCGCTTTTAATGTTTTAATCATCGTCAGGATTAGACTATTAGTTTATGTTATGAAATAAACATCTACCCGTTAATGAATTGTATAAATTCCTTACAGTTATTAGCTCTTGTTTAACCATTCATTGTTATCTAGGCTGAGTTCAAACGGATTTATGCATGTTTAGTATTGAAAGTTTAGAAATATCTATTAAGGACGAAAATTTTGAAAATTTAATTTCCATTAAATGTTCAAAACTTTCGTAATTGTTGCTTTTGCAATTAGAATTTAACCTGTACAGAAAATATTTGTAACTTGTAACAAATTAGGGCAAGTTTTGCAGTAATTTGGCGTGATATTCGTGTAGGAGCGGAAATAATTGTCAATTTTTCAGGCTACAATGTAAACGTTGAAGCTGTAATGGAATTAATTTAGGATTTTTTGGTTCGGTTCTAGTTCAGTTCTTATTTTTGCAGCGAAAAACAAATAATTATGTCAAGTAAATGAGTTTGTCTCCCTCATGAATATACTTCATCAAGCAGCTTTAATAATGAGTTGTTAATGTTCTTGATTAAGCATCTTTTATTTCTGCTTGAGCACTATAAGACTTAATTCCACTTTATCCTGCAGACAAGCTGATTTATTAAGCCTGAGTGGTTCTTCTGAAAAACACTAAATTATTTGTTTATGATTTTTTTCATGTTGAATGTT